TATATGTCTTGATTGTTAACTCATCCTTGTCGCTAAAAAAACATTACGTTACTTTACTTTCGATCTAATGACGTCATTCGCTAATCAAAGCACTCCGTTCAACGTGCGTCTATCCTATCAGTTTTTACTGCTGCAATTAGTCGCGACGGCCTCATAAGCGTCCTATGGATCTTGTTTACTACTAAGTACACTGGCCAACTTGATTGTTAAACATTTAAATTAACAAGACCGTGAGTTGAAGGATACTCCCACGGAACGCGTGCTGTAAAACGGTGTGGCATGCCCTTGAAAAAAACCCCGTAGGCCATAGACCCCCCGCCAACGAGCTCAAGGTGGATTGTGATAGTGCATTTTGAATTTTCACCAATCTCCGTTATCGTCGATAATCGTCGTCTGGAGGTACTCTCATTGACGTTCGTCGTGCTCGTTTCAGCTAACGCTGTCATCGTCAACTTGTGAGCGGTAACTGTATTGACAGTTACCGACCCGATAATCGTAAGAGTTATATAGAACTGGCTATCGGTCTAAGGCTACAATAAAAAGGTACAGGTCAACTAGATTGAACGAATACATCTTATAGACGTACAAGATATTGTCAACAGGCTGTCTAACTCTCCAGATAGTGGACCACTCAGTGCTGAACAAGAAGCCTAATTGGTGAAACGTTCAAGGGAATTTATATTTGGGCCTTGTATATATTGCTACAGATATTATATTATGTATGTAATGTTGCAGCAGTATCATATTCACGTCACCCTAATTGGCTTCGGAAAAAAACGGAGCTCTCTTTTTTTTATTGTTCCTCTTTGCTTCTGAAGGTCGTCGGTAGGCCTGCCTCTACTTGACTCACTCAAAGCACAGCTTCATATTGCATAGACGAACTTGATGTATACTAACTAGGTAGTAAATGATAATTATAAGGCATCGGCTTTTGTAGCCATTTTCGCTTGGTTAATTATTTATATATATTATATATATATATATATATATATATATATATATATATATATATATGTATAATAACATTATTATAATAATATTACTATTCATCTCGGTGTTCGTACACTTCCGTCTGTCCCGGCAACCGATATGTTGGTAGTGCAAATTTGGGGCATACAGGTGCTTCGTGTATATTATCTGTCATGCAACGTACTACAATGCCTCTTCTATCTAATTGGAACTTTCAGTGGGTCACTGTCACCCTTCGGTGGTTCGCGCCGGCAGTGAACAGATGAGTCTGTTGTCAACCAATTCACGGTACCTTCACGACAACCTTGTGCTTTACGCGAAGCGTATAGTGGCTAAATTTCCTGATCCCCTATCGATTGCCTACTTCGTTAATTCTGGGTATGTACTAAACACGTGGATGTAAGAATGAATTTTGGACAATAAACATCTATACTATATAGTGTGCAGGTGTATTTGAAACAAACAAAAAAAAAGTCAACTCGGGACTATCGGGAGTCATACGCTTGCCATCGTATGACGACGGCCTGTTGATAAGAATGTATATTTACAAGTGAAGCTTAGGCCAATATCCTTCTTACGGCTTTGCGTTATGCCTGACGCCGAAATTCGAAACGTGGTTGAACTAAAAATATAGCCTAAAAATAGAAGTCCGGAATCGCATGATGTGTACAATGAAGTAGAACTAAGCCAGCATTTAAGATATGACCAGTACACACAGTAAGACAACAGATATCGTTACCTGAAAGCTCTTTTGTTCATAATGCTCTGATTTAATCTTATTCTATCCACGGGATGCGCGTATTCCTCACCCGCATTATTAGCCAATCCACTCGTGCCTGTATCAATTATGGTATTATCATTGTATAGACTCCCAGACTGATGGTTGCTACCGCTGCCAAATCGCCTCCGCAAGTGATCTGCTCAAAAAAAAAAAAAGAGCAAACATGTTTGTCTAGAAGGATCCATGGAAACTTCTTAAAGAAGGTCGAGTTCTCTTGTCTCCTTTTTCAGACCCTATCTAGAAGGGCACTTAGTTAAATTTTTGAGGACTTCTTGAAGAGCATTCACGCTTTTTTTTTTTTTTTTTTTTTTTTTTCGTTTACTTCGTTTTTAAGCTCACCCTTATCTCAAGCAAAACGCTTGCGAGTAAAATGTTCGATTTTGCTTTACTCTAATGGGTGCCCATAGAGAAGATAACTGAGATAGAGCAAAAGCGACAACTACTAGAATTGGTTGACTGACGGGAGACATCCGATCGACGCCTCGATATCTCTTAGCGACTGGATAAACTAAGCTAAACATATCTCGCATGGATGCTTGTACTGCTCAAAAAAAGCAAACAGGACAAGAACAAATAGGCCGAGGAGCAGGCAGGTTTCCAATGCTGTCCTTGTCGCTGATCGGTAGACAATATCTAGCAGGCAAATATCTTTAATGCCTATCTCATGCAGCATGCCACTAAATAGAAACATTTAGCTTCTACGAGTAAACAGCGAGATATAACGCATGAGTAGAAAATGGGTTAGTTGAATTATCTCTAAGTTGGTCATGAGAGATGAACAAGTAGGTGAAATGAAGAGAAGAGGCACTTGACTGAGTCACGTTATGCATTTGGTGGACTAACGGTGATCAAGTTGATATCTAATAAAACATTTGATAAAATATATACGTAAAAAAAAAACTGTATCATGGCATAATAGAATGATTCTATTTCAGCTCCGAAGCAAATGATCTCGCATTGAGAATCGCTAAGGCTGCTACTGGTCAGAAAGACCTCATCTGTCTTGAAGGGTACGTTCTAATTTTGGTTAGCTTGTTCTGCCCACTCGGTGTGCTACGTGCGCATAATCTTTACGAACTAGCATGCATGCATGTATACGCGTACATAGCACCATTGCCTGTACCTAATAAGGCTCAAATGGACCAGGTTGAGTAAAGTATTATCAAGGTGATTCCTTTCACATGTATATAATTGCATAGTGATACAGACAACAGGCTCACCGTAAAGCTTAAATAACCTTAGCTACATTAAACGTTCTTTGAAATATACTAATCGTATTCATGTGTGAGAGGAAAAACCACTGCGTGGCATGTTGGAAAAATGTAAAGGGCAGCACAACGTTATATCAAACACTGTGCCTTTAACTGCGAAAAAAGTTAAGTTTCCCATTTCAAAAAAGAGTTCCCATTTTTTTAGTACCTGACTGAATTACGCAGCGCAATCGCCAACGAGTGGCAAGCTTAAGGGCAATCTATGTACGTATCTGCGCGTGGCCACTTTGCCACAACCCGCTGGATGGTACCTAGATCAGGCACCATAAGCGGTGCCGAATAAGCTGAACATTACGATACTGAAATAGTCAGCGCATAGCATTGTATACATTATTGCAGTACGTGGACGTTGTATAAACGTGACTATTTGACTCTTGGGCGTCACGTTATTCTATTGGCTGAACTGAAAAGAGCGCGTTTGTCACTCAGCTGGGATCGTGTACGTGCTGCATATCGTAAGGTCGGGCACTAACGATAAACATGTTATTACATCTAATTCCAGAGCGTATCACGGACACCTGCAGTCGACAGTCAGTATCAGCCCATACAAATTTAATCGAATTAAAGGATACAAGCAAAAGAAACATGTTCACGTTGTAGGTACCAATCTACTACTATTTATAATGCGCATCGTATACTACAACACTAAATTCTGAACTATGTAGGATCGTAAGTCGACAAGTGCTGCCGGCTTCCACGAAAACCTTTTATCAGTTTGTCGAACAAACCGTGTCAATAGAAGCTATTATTATTATTATAGTTAGCTATGTGCTGCAGGATAGCACGTCACGCTCTCTCCTATAAGGCATGAAAGTATTCATCTTTACAAATGGGAGATATCACATATTACATGACTTGCATTGACTTCACTCTAATCATCAATATACTATATTCCAACCTGCATCCTCAGGGCCCGCTTCCATGCGAATATCGAGGAAAACATCAACGGTCACAGTTAGGCCCTCAAGCCAACATTGGTGAAATGTACGCCGACGAAATTGGACAAATCTTGAGAAAAATTGAATCCGAGGGCCGAAAACCAGCAGCATTCATCTGTGAAAGTCTTATTTCATGTGGCGGACAAGTGATTCTTCCAGACAACTACCTCAAGTAAGAACAAATCATTTCTTCTACATCGTCACTTAAGTTATATCTGCGAAAAGTATGGATTTGTAAATCAAACGAACCGTTCTTGCAGGACCGTATACGCTAACGTTCGAGCTGCTGGCGGGCTTTGCATAGCAGACGAGGTTCAGACTGGTTTCGGGCGAGTTGGCAGTCATTTTTGGGCCTTTGAGTTACAGGGAGTCGTCCCTGACATCGTTACGGTAGGAAAGCCGATTGGAAATGGTCATCCCCTTGCCTGCGTTATTACTACCCCAAAAATAGCGCGCGCTTTTGAAGCACAAGGCGCGGAATATTTCAACACTGTACGTTGCTTTATACCTTTCGCTTCAAGTTAGCATCAGATTATAGCGACAAAAGTACCAGTACAATATGAAACTAATGTTTCACTTCTTATATCTATTGGGTAACCTTAGCGTGTTCAATAACACCGCGTAACATTGTTACATGTGGGGCTATTCTATTGTGAAAATAGTTTTTATTTCTTAGATAAAATGTATAATTTCATTTTGCTATGTATTTTAACAAAATGCCCCTATTATGAGGATTCCCTTTCTTGGATTTCTTCCATGTGTCGTTACAGTACGGAGGCAACCCCGTATCAATGGCGATTGCCAACGCAGTCTTGAATGTCATTGAAGACGAACGTCTACAGCAACATGCCCTTAATGTCGGAACGTATCTAATTCAGGCACTTCGTAAAGTACAGCGTCGAAGATCACTAATAGGGGATGTCCGAGGAATAGGGCTCTTCGTCGGTATAGAGCTTGTCAAGGATCCTCAGACAAAAGAGCCCGGAGCCGAGGAGGCTCTCTACATTTCTCGGCGTTTTAAAGAAGTACGAAAACCTTCGATTAACTGTCTCGGCAAGATCTCTTTTCATATATTTCAATGACTAGCATAATTATTGCTGGCAGTGAGAATAGAGTGTCTTTGTATATTTGTGTAGGCATTATCAATGATCTCAGCTGCTTGTTTAGAGGAAAATTTTAGCAACTGGAAATCGTTAGCGATCTAGACAATTCAAGAAACTAGGTATGACCTCAATTATGTTTTGTTCTCAATGTTGTTAACGTTGGCTTTGTGAAATTGTAGGAACATTGTCTAGTTAGTACAGAAGGCGAGTGGAACAATGTATTGAAACTTAAACCTCCGATGGTGTTCACACGAGATAATGTTGACACCATATGTGCTCTCCTCGACACATTTCTCGCTGAACTTGAACGGGGAGCCCTTTCTCAGCGAAAAAACAGCACCGTAGAATCCAAGGTTAGTCGTTTCATAGCAAGAGCAACAATCTTTTTTAAGGTAGCAATAATAACAATATGAAAAGGCTGCTGAAACCTATGTTGCTTCTGCACAAAATGAAAACTTCAATTTAAAAGCCGTATTAATTGGAAATACTTTGAGCCTTTTTAATGGTAGAAATGATCTAACAAGATGCAACGATGATTTGCTTCCAGTCATGCTAACTTTAGCCACACATGGCCTGTTTTCATACTCCAGGTCGTGCCGAAGTCTTCGGCTCATGCGGAAATGATGCGATCCACTTCAAAAGATGCCAGGGTCATGTAAATGCTTAAGTCGATGGTTGTTGTTATCGAATTACTATTGCATAATTATAATAATCGTTCAACCTCCGCAACGTCTGCACGATAGGCGGGGCATCTAGGGTGATCCCAATAAGAAATTCCTACAACAAACTTTTTTGCTGCTACATGTTTTATCTTACTCTGAACTATTCAAATCTAGTGCCTTCGATAATATGTGTATTAAGTTATTTTGCCTCAGCACAAAGTGCCATCGTTGTTACGGTGCGTAGTTGAAAGTCACAGGCGACATTCCAGCAAAAGGTGCTTCATCTTATATGATGTAGTTATATATTCCTATAAGTATCTTATCTAAAAATACGGATTTACCTATGCCATTTGTTATATGTGTATTTGCTGCAAACTTTTATGAATCGAGGAAATAAATGGTTATTGTTACTGCAAAAGGTATAGTATTCCGCAGTTATCACAGGTGGCGATGTGACACAAGTTGCAAAGCCAAAATACATCACACGTTTTACATTGCATCGATTACGTCTTTGATTGCTTTCAACAATATGTTATATAGTAAAAACACAATTTTCGTTACGGGAAATCGCTTGATTATTCCTCAACGTACATAGAAGTGAGGGCAGCATAATCATGTCAGTGACTCTGAAAGGAAGTTAAAATTTTTTCCAACACTTGAAATACTTACCCTTATAATTGCGATTTTGAGGTGGCTATCAATAGCTTCCACTTCTTGTTTATTTGCCGTATAAATTCGTCTTGTGGAGACAGTTAATTCAAAGCGAAAGTCATGTACGTACTTTATTCTACTTACGTTCTCATAACCAAGATTGTATCACGGATTTCAGGGCAAAGGCTACCTTACGGGCCTTGCATAGGTAACAGCCCACACAGAGAACAATTCACTGTTACAATAAACCGACTATTGACAAAAAATAACCAAATAATAAAATACAGCAAGAAAAAAAAATTAAAGACGAGTCATTTTGTCTTTTTTGCGAGTATAAACTGGTCGTTTTCTAGATCTCTCTAAACATAGCTTTATTTCGTAACACATATGTATAAAACTACAATGAGGAAGAAAGTGACCAAAAGTACTTAAGAAACTGAATGTCTCGTGTTTTCTTGTCTCTTTGTGGACCAAATTCTCCTCAATTCCGGAACAGTTCCATGTGCACATAAAGTCTGCAAAATAAAATATAACCCTTGATAAAATTATATTTCCCGCGGAAAAAACATTTGATACTATACATATGCCATGTGTATATTAAATACCTCAAAAGACTAACAATATTAAAACCAAAGCAACGAACGCTGACTGCCCCTGAAGTTGGTCATTTACCTTTCCTATTGTAGTTCACTCACCCTTTTCATCCGTTTCTTGTCAAAACTAGAATATTTCTAAATTATGACAATACATTATCGTGCTTTGAGTGTAAGCTAACGATCACACCAACTGGTTTTTCGAAGTGTATTTCAAAGATCAGTATACAAGTTGTACAGAGACTTAAATATATACATGGCTAAACTAATGGTGAAACATTTTCTCTGTTTATCAGACATCGATTGCCTTTCATTGCCATATGGATTTCTTACTTAAATACGCTTCAGTAAATGATTTCCTAACGAATCTTGTTTAGTCATGAAGATTCTAACAGGCGGAGTTGTTCTTCGGAAAGCTTTGTATAATCTACAACAATGTAGCTTACATTGCATCGAGTCTGCTGGATGCAGCCAACTGACAGAATTTACACTGACGCTAGCTATGGTGACAAGTAACTCTGCTAATAGCAGTGCAAAACGGTTCCGTATCTGTGACAATCACTTTATCAATTGCTTTATTTCGATTTGTAGAAACATCATGAGATGGTGATACGAAGAACTTTTACATGCCGTAGTATTTGAAACTATATAAACAATATTTTTAAATAAATAAACCGGACACATAAATTACCATATTATTATATATCAATAGAAAGCTTATAGTAGATTTGCCAGTGACCAGGGCTCATTTCGGGTAATGCTTTAGCCGGATCAATACTGCGTGTTCATTAGTCCACGTCGTACTCGCTGGAATTACTATGTTTTGCCGACGACCGAGGTCACTCAGCATTAGTATTAAAGGATGGACCAAAATATAAGTAACTAAGATCAGGATATAGAACAGGTAAGAAATATGGAAAATTTTATCGAGCCTTTTTCAAAATATCTATGTTAGTGGGAAGAGTTATAGATATTTAGCGCACGGTACAGAAGAGAGAAGAAATATCGGTCGGCATTTACTACTATTCTCATCCTTATTGCGCTACAATGTTATTAATGTGAAGGTTCGGGCCCCTCGTATGTACATACTCGCAACAATGAAATCAATGAGAGTACTTGTGCCGCAATGATATTTACTACGCAATAGACCAATATGGTTCATTTTGGACCTGTCGCTAAAAGGTTTCAATTTATCCGTAACAGCCCCTCTAGGTTTTGGATTTTATGTCCGGTATTATGGTCATTCCATCAGATGGTTGGTTTCCAACACGAAACAAAACCTGTCCATGCCCGGGTTCGATTCAAAACTACAAAGTTACCCTAAGGTTAGCAAGCAAATACGTTGCCCAGTAAGCTATCACGAGAAGCTCCGCCATCCACGCAGCACGAAACAGCCCCCTAGTGTACACTAAATAGACTCATTTTCTCATTGGACGCTCTATTGAGAGTTATGAGTTTCGATGTAACGTTGAAAAAAGGTCAATTGAGATGGTATCTATAGCAGATCGAATAAAGAATGCAGATGTGACGCATTTTGAGATTTTCATAAACAAAGAAAAATACTTGATATGCTGTTTAACATAACTGAGAGTACTACGAAACGAGGCTTTGTACTGAAGCTCAAATGCTTACCTTAAATGATTATCAATGACCAACCGTAAGCACTATAAACCTACAAAATGATGACTACTAATATGATATCCTATACGTACCTTATTGTTTGAAAACAAAAATATTCTCTTTGGCATCAACTATTTAGCACATTGTAGCTTAGTAGGTTTAGACGTTTAGGTAGCTAACTACCGACAAAACGAGGCTACAAGCTCCAACTTCATTTATTCTTATATATTATGCCACCATCTGTCTGAACTTCATTCGTAAATAAAGACATTTTAAATAAAAGCCCCGCTCGTGTTGTAATTGCAAGTGGGGTTTCCCAATAAGATCTTTATCATTCCTTTGTTAATGCTTTTTTACCCCCTTCTTATGCGTTCACGCAGACAAGAGTTTCTACAAGAGTACGATAAGTTCCCGCCAAAAATTCAAGCACTCCATGCGTGTGTTGTCTTTGGCGCGTCATCATCCTCGGGTCGGTCTGTCTATACCGAGACTAGTGACAAAGGAAGGAGGAGTGAGAAGGAAGAAGGACTACTCGTCTGCCGAAAGCTAATCTGCCAGTTTCGGCATTATTACTATTATTATAGTTGAGTGGTTATCTTTGTTTTAATTCCAAACGAAGCTCAATAGAGGTGTGAACATAGCGTGTCTTGTAGCTATTTGCCTTTCTTGTTTCCGCTGTAAAGGTGTGCGTACGGGAACTGCTGTTTCTCTAAACACTAACTGAGTTACCGGCCTACCTCAGTGAGACGTGGCTGTTTTACCTAGACTGTAGTGTTTGTGTACTACCGACTGTTGTTTGGATTGCTAAGGCTGAACAACAGTACAACGACAGGAAACAAGTTCTATTAGTAGTAGTCGTAAACATAGTCAGTCTGTATGAGATTCTGTTGTGACAGTTGCCGGGTCGCAATCACCTGGTGCAACTGACGCTTCCCTGTCTCGTGTATTCGTTTCGGCGGTGTGTGCTTCGGCGAAAAAAACAGCACAACCAAAAAAGAATAGAACATCCCTAGCAAATATCTAGGAGAGGCTAGAACGATGTCTGCCGATGCGGAAAATGCGACAAACGACGCCGAGTTTGCTAGCGGCGATGTTGAAGACGATGCCGGCAGTGGCGTGATGATGTGTGAGACATGCTACAACAACGCCAGCCAGCTTGAGGCTGATGCTGAGGACGCTAAATGTGATGTGTGCGATTTGCGTAGCCAACTGGCCGAATGCCAGCAGCAGGTGGCCGACCGCGATGCGCGTATTGCCGAACTGGAAGCACAAGTGTCGAACTCTCAGGTTGAAGCACGCATCGAAGAGGCGCTTGAGCCTGATGCACGACCCCATCTGATGGCCATCTCGGATGGGATGTTCACAAAGATGCGTAAGTATCCACACACCATGTTCGTTCAGCTTGGTCGAGTCCCACGCTCGTTTTGGCGAAGCAAAGCCATCGACGGCGTGAACGGAATGACCGAACACCTACTTACGGGGCTGAACAACGATCGTGTAGATGGACGTAAATTTCACGTGCTCTGGTTCGGCGGCTTGGCCGACACCACGCTCGAAGATTATGAGCGGACAAACTTTATCACTAAACTACAGGAGGTACTCGAGAAGGTATATGCACACGACAAATGCAGCTCGGTTACTTGGGCCACGTTGCCTGAGACAACGTTTAACGCCGAGGCGAGGGAGATCAACGAGCGTATGGCCGCTTGGATGGCGGACAAAACCGACATCCGACTCCTCGACCTTCGCTACATTTCACGCCGTGAAGGCACCATGGAGACGAACGAAGCAATGTGGACCCCGAAAGGCGGACAGCTGATTGGCGAGTCGCTCAAGAAGTTCCTTATCGAACGGCTAGAGTTGACAGAAGCCGAACAAAATGCGATGGAAGCATCAGCTAAAGAAATGCAGATGTTGCGAGAGAAGAGAGCCAAGAGGCTTCTGCAGCTGGACGAACGACAGCTGCGTAAGCAACAAAAGCTTGCTCGAGCTGCATTGCTCAAGGCCGGACATCCGGTACCTGGAGCAGCGCCAAGACAGTTCGTTCGGCGAAACGGACCCCCGGGGGGCAAAGCCACCCCGTTCATTAAAGGCGCACCGCCACCAAAGAAGTTCCTTCCACCTGGCGCAAATGGTCACAAGTTCGCAGGTGGCCCTCCAGGTACAAGTGGTTTCAAGGGTAAATACCCGAAACCGTATCTTGATCGGGCGGCGGCCGCGAATTACGAGGATAATTCTTCAGCTGCTTACGATCGGCTACCGGCATCAAGTAGCCGCGTCGATCCCGACTATTTGGAGGACCCACGCTGGAGGAACTCAAAACGTGCTAGGATCTCTGACACCCTGTATGATAACTACGACCGCTACCCTCCTTCGAATCGAGTCGAACACCGAGGTGGTGGGGCCTACGCCGATGCTAGCCTCTATAGCCGTCGGGACGATCCTTACCGGCGATCACCACCGAGGGCCCATGCCAGTGATCTCGCTTCACCTCTTATGGCTGCTCAGGCAACGGCCGCTACCTATGACAGACCTTACGGCGCTGGCGGGTTAGGGGATGATATTCGCCGACAGGCACAATGGGAAGCTTATGATAGGGTTGCGAGACACTGAAAACGTTCGTTGATTATAGGGTTCTTACGGAAGGCGGGAATTTACTCATTCAGCGGCGTACAATAGATCCCTTGATAACAAGAGCTCTGTAAACGAGCTGCTTCTGAAACGTAAAAGTAAGGCCAAAGCTTGCGTTTGGCCTAGCGAGATTACTCAGTTGTCTATCTAACACCAGATCATTAGAGGTTTGACAACCATTGACGTAAATTGCAATGCGGAGTTTTGTCTCTTTAGGGGAATCGTTTTTCTAAGGCCGTGTTAGCCAATCGGTGGCCGTAAATTGTAAATCTTATTTTGCTGCAGGGCGATATCATCGCAAAGTCTGGTGTCTTCAAGATACCTTAACATAGGATAGTTGGTGACACTTTTCAGGTTTTTCTAATTTCGTTGAAGATCCAAATAACGTGGGCGACATTAAATAATATAAACGAGTTTTATAGGGAGAATTGACTTTACCAGATATTCGGATTTTGCAGCGCGTTTTAGACAACTGTATTTAACTAACATGCAAATATCTATAAACATATAGTACGAAAAGCACTATTGTTATACGGCTTATAAACATAAAATCCACCCATATGATTGTATACGACAAATTAACAATTTTCTTTTGCTATTTCTCGAAGCAAAAAAAACATGTTGGCTTGACATTAAGTAGACTGCAGTATTTCTCATTAATTACAGTGATCATGACAGTAAGGTAATGAAACGAAATAGCTAATCCTGGAAAATATACTGCACATCCTACAGGTATCGAGGAGGTGCTCCAAAACCAGAAGTTAATTAATCTACCAGAAGTTCTAGATAACATCAAGAAAGTTCAGTCCTGGCAAAAAGGAAAAACACAATATTGCATGGAAATATAACAATAGTGCTGCATGGCTACCGCACATTTGAGAAGAAACATATGACTAAAATTGTAAACGGGAGCGCCCCTCAAGGAACAAATGGTGACAGTACTATTAGCTAACGCACGCACGGATGGATCACAAATTCCGTATCATATTGGATTGAAGGGGTACTTCACAGGTAACAACGTGGTGTTTTCTGAGAATCAGTTAAGTCAAGCGACAAGACTGAGGATAGTACGTTATGAAATAAAGATTATTGAGCATTCACTGATGTCGTATTCACTCGTGTATTTGTTTTAAGTTAGGGCTTAGCATTAAAGGATGACGAATATCCTTTGGTAAATATCAATCAGATGTTACTAATTAACATCATATGATATGAGCGTCATAAAATTAATAAATTTCTTCCCGAAACATATGACGAGAGAAGTAAAAAGAATGTGATCATCATACTAGGATGCATTGCTAATAAATATATTGGTACCTTATTGAGGCGTTCGGCGTCATAAAAAAACCTGTTCCTAGAGCTGTAAATAGGACCCCGTTTATATTGACGAGCGATCCACGCCGCCAACTTAATGCCAGTATTTTTTTACCAGTGCGAAGATGTTCTAAGACATTTAGCAAAACTATATATGTATATATATATATATATATTTAAGAAGTTCTTAAAACTGTGGCTCGAAAACTCTAATAGAATAAATATATAGAGTTGCTAGTAGATTATCATACAAAAGATAAGACGAATTAAAAGAACAGTGAAGCGGAAAGGGTGCGAAAATCATTTTGTCGTGGAAGTGTGTAGCTTCCTCAAATGCAAAAACGCGAATAGGAAGAGTAGCATATATTTCTAAGTCAGGTACATACGGTTAAACGTCTTGGTTCGATTAATCAATTACCGCGGAAAAGCACAACCGCATGCTTTAAGGCCAAATATTTGTTGCCCTTTTCGCTTTCCCATCAGTTGCATTACATGTGATCCACGAACGTTGCTGTAAAGTTCATACACTCAGATGCTTCAAAAGTGACTGCATTTCCTCATTCAAGCTCAGTTGTTGTTTTTTTTTCTGGAATTCATAAACTCATTATTGTTTCCGGCAGATTCTTGTGAAACTTCGACTCTAGGTTGCTTTTTTAACGAATTGCAGCATATTCCCGTTAATATTTATGTAAGAGCTCTTATCGGCAATTGCTGGAGCATTAGCTTGACACAAACTTACAACTATGGTGGGATAGAAGGACTTTAGGTTGTCGGTCACTTCTTGCTTGTTTTTGGGAGTATTGGCCTGCATATTGATAATTTTTTTTATTACCAGTATTTTTAAATGCGTACAACTTTCTAAGCCGTTCTTAATAGAGAACTCGAATTCGTAATCCCTGTCCTCCTTCTACACTCAAATACATTAAAGCGGCTTCATTATCGCATACATCAGAAAGGTTTTTATTTCCGTCGCAGGTTTCCTCCTTTCTGGTCCTTACATGTGTATATCAATGCATACATCGAAATGATTTTTAGGGACACAATCTTCATTTCAGTTCTGCGTAGTAGGTAATGGCACGTAGCTAAAGCAAAACCCTTCTTGGATTGCAACCACTGTAATAGGTAGCCGCATTGTGTAATGGAATGGCCTATCCTGTATGACTGATCCAGAAACTGATCTTTAAAGGCACCCGATATATCCATACATGTGTTCGAGAAAGGCTTTGAGAAGAAGGTACGTTGCATATACAATTCAAAATGAAGCTATTATACATACAGAACTCTTGCCTCGACCGCCTAAGTGTTGTGGGTATAAAGCGTTATATAACAATAATAGTAATAGAATACCCTTGTAAGGATATAGTATTTTGCGATAGTAAATAAAGTGATATAGTGGCAGTAAATTCGTCTTGCTCTAGCAACTACCTATTGGTGCTCAAACCTCTGAGGGGCAAACCTTGTCGGGACATTGTGCACTTGAGGGAATCGATATCTTTATTAAATCAGAAACTGGGCTTAAATCGGCACTTCCTTATTAGTAAGTGGATGATGCAAAAAACAGAGTTGAATTTATTGTGAAAAATGAAATACGATAAACACAATTCACAGAAATAATAAAAAATATTTTTGATTTCTGCATGACTTTAAAAAGACAGTAAGACATTATTCCTGTGTCGAGAATCTACAGGACACCTATCTTGTGCTTTCCTTCAACGCAATTCGGGAAACCTTCTCTCTTAGCCAAAGATGCATAATAGCACATGCGAAGCCATACGAATTACGTGACAAGAGTTGAGAAGTAAGAGAAGTTCTTGAGGCAGGAGATACATGGATAAAGCCAAGGTCCAAATCAGGATTTTCAACGAGGTGAGCCGTATGACAAGCGGAATTTGTTGTGGATCCTGTCAGAAATAAATAGTTGATAAGAACTTAACAGCTGTTTGCTTCTAGAATATCGTTGTCGCCTTCGTTATGCCGAAGTCGACACAGACCAGCATGGTATCATGTGAGTCACAGAACTTCTCAGCGAATTTTTCTTAAGGAATTGATCGGCCTTTGCAATTGGGTAAAAGATAAGTCTGAAATAGATGAAACTGTTCAGAATGTTGGTACACTACGTTCCGGATGAACTTCAGCAGCCAAGAAACGCTATCGTAAATTTATAGCAAAACATGCCAAAAATCTATAGGACAATCGTGTCGCGAACTTGTCATCAGCCAATCAACTGCATTTGAATATGTTGTAAATATGCAAGTTACACTCCCACCATAGTACATGAAGTTATCACCAGTGCAGTACTCATTAGAATGGTAGTCATTTTAAACATCTACTACAGGAGAAAGTAAAGGATGGAGAAGGGGAAAAAAGGAAAAATATGTTTTCGAACAAATAGCAATAAAGGAGAGTGACTGTAGACTATTGACGGGGGGCTAAATTGGGAAAGTAGTGTAGCAACTAACAATAACAGCTTTACAAAGGGAAAATTGGTAGAAACCGGAAGATTAATAACTATAAGTAATATTATTGACTGCATTCACAAGTATAAAAATGACAACAATAAGGAGACGAGAGAATGACACTAACAGAAAATACAACATTACTGAGGTAATTTTTCTTACGTTAAGAATCCGCTATGCGGCGTCGGCTTGCCCGGCTTTAACTATCAAGCGAAACACAATACTAAGATCACTCTTCATATGTAACCGACCCATATAGGCCGTTACTCTGTGTGGGTATATAATACGTAAGAAAACCGAAGTGACGCGCGCTGCGCCCAGCTAGCGGCAAGCGACGACCGGCAGGTGCACATGGCGCCTACACGTATGCGAGCGACGTGCGCTCGATGCAATTACACAATAACGGTACAACAGTCTCACAGATGTGGATAGGATTTCGTCTATGTACGTTCGTGTAACTGTCGAAACACATGGAGGACGAACGTGACACGGGAGGAATATCTAATACAGGGAAACATATCTTTAAACGTTTTTCCCATTTTACGCCCGGTACTTAAGCCACTAAGCATTACATCCTCGAAATAAAGTGTATTTACGTTTGGATTAGAACCTAGAATACAATGTATCCTTGAATTTAGAAAGCAAACACATTACGTATAGTGTTACAAAAAGACTGGTGTTTATCGACAGACAACTATTATTAAGTGAAAAGGAAAATTACTCTCTTTATTCATATATATATATATATATATATAAATTAACAAACATTTTACTTGGTCCTCTAACGTCTTTTGGCTCAGTTATGGCCTTTAAGAAATCCAATATCGTTGGGTTTCTGGCCTAGACTTTATCTTTAAGGCAAAGGGGAAGCTATTTTGGAAACGAAAAAAATTCTGGAACAATGGGACCGCTTTATTCGACCTATCTTTTTGGCAGATTTTTATCAAGATATGCTTTTACATTACGATAATAGTGCGCAAATTCTCCGTCTTGTGGGATCTAAAATTTACCACCTTCACCAAAGTCGTTTCGAATCCATGATAAAAGACATTTTTGAAGTAAATTCGAGCAATTGGTACCTATTGTTTTACTATTAAAGAAAATGGTCAGCCTAATCCTTTACTTGAAATGCCGCAACACCCAGCTTCTGGTGAATTTACATGATGTTCCAGTGCAATATGCAAACTGTCAGTTAGTTAGTAACCGTAAATATGTCAGTTATTTGTGGCATATGATTAGAATTTAACTTTATCACTCCAAACACCTTTTTCGGATATGCTGTTCACATTTTCCAAGTACCATCTGCAAAACCGTCTTCATTGATAGCAGTCGTCATTGTGGAACTGTAACTTCCCCGTTTATAACGTATTAAAATGCAATGGATATTTAATGAACCAAGGCCAAGCTCATGAGGTAATTACCTCACAAATTTTTGCGGTGTTTAGTTGTATCCTTCTAGTGTTGTTTTTTCGCTGACAAAGTCCGTTGATGTCCTTGGTCTGCCAGAAAGTCGCCTGTGGACTTCTTAGACAGCTGTAAACTTACATTTTATCCGATTATTTGTAAGATACATAAGTGGATCTGTCTAAACTTTCCTGCAATACTGCTTTTCTACTGTCGCTACATTTTCATTAAATCATATGTAAATCGAATTCCTTTATTCAAATGTTAATTTTGACACACCCGTTATTCATAATTGATTACACCCTAAGAAGAACAGTTAGAAAGTTATGACCCGTTATTTCAGGCATGATCGAACGCAGAAACCAAATGCCTATCGCCTTAATATCAAATAGTTTATTAGTAGCTCTTCGTCACCAATTCTTTGTTAAACGGCGTCTATTAACGATTTCTATCACACGGTATGTATGTTGAATAAATGCAATATTAATTATTGCATTATTAGTTATTTTTATTAGAAATTATTAGATATTTATATAAAAATGTTAGCAAGATTAAATGAAAGATTTCTTTCTAAAGCTAATAGATGAAATACATACATGACCACACGCAAGTTCCCTATCAAATGAACTTCTCTAGTCATGCTTTTAGTAAGTATATGACTAAATATGTGACGTAACATTATATTAGATATTGCTTAGCTCTCCCTTAGGTCATAGTTAATTCTAAAACGAGCTATCGAAGGGTCTTTTACACGTTTATCACAACTTCAATGTGTGTCCTTCCATCATTGACATTTCGCGTAACCGTAATCAAACCATTTCGGTCACTTTTAGCGTCTATTCGGTCGTTCCAGTCGAACGATTTTAATCCGACCCGCTATGTCTAGACGTGCAATGCCTGCAGGTAGCTTCGCGTTACCTTTTGTATTGGTGGAGACACGTATTCCCTTCGCATTATTTCTTTATTCTAATTCTCTGAGGTCAATATCACCGCAATTAGCGCTATTATAGAATGTTATCGACTAAATATTACAATTAGGCAGATATATTTAGTATGTAAAATGCTAGCCGAATGTTACGTTTCTTAAGGGGTTGTAAGGTTTTAGTTGGACTCCCTGTATTTATGGTTCCAACTGATATTTGTAAATAGAGCCGTGTTCATCGATACACTCGACGCTGCCCACCGTTTTGCTAAGTTATAGAAACTGAGCTATTTAGTTAAAACTGGATATTTGATTGTGGGTGTGATTGAAACCCATCATTTCATGCACTGCTCTTTTGATCGTCGAATGCTAGAACCGCTCTGTTGCTACTACCCTATATAAGCGCCATCGAATGTTAGCAGATATCAGTTTTGTCGATTATCGGCATCAAGGTAGTACACACCAAACCGCTCAAGGAAGCCTGCAAAAAATCAAAATCTTTTTGCCAATCGCAGTCATATTGGCAGAAAACTGATTTTAGAAGTTTACTGGTTAGTCCTACAAAATTCAGGACAGGACTGTAAAGAATATGGTTTCGCACTTTGGTTCGGCTGCCTGGCGGATGCTCATTTTGGCTATGGTGCTATCACTGATATCGAACAGCATCATTCCATCTGTCCATGCAAAGAAGTTACTTAAACTTGCAGCTGCTACCGCAGTTATTCGAGGAGGACCAATAATTCCTATTCTGATACGTTATCCCGTACGGACGGCGAAAGAGAAAACCGCTCATGACCCAATTGCACATCACTACCACCACGAATTGCATGAAATGTGGTAGAACAAGGATGATAACTCTGTGTGTATAATGTAAGCGCACTTCTATGGGTGTGTGCATCCAGCATTTTCCAGTATATCGCGTTTATTTCTATGTTCATCATCTGCGTGTCCTGCTGATTTTTACACGTTTCATTTTGAGTGTACGTGGTAGTTGTCCGCCTGTGTGTATGTGTTTCAACGTATTCATAATCATTATTACTCATCGAGACCCTAATTATGCTGGTAATCGTCTGTTAATCTAGTCACTTATATTAATACACAGAATATCATTCTATGTCATTATAATCTAATTTATGTGTTATTATAGTATCTGTGGTGTGTATATGGCTGTTTTTATCCTCTGTATCAAATACACACCTTGTATTCTGTCCACATGAGACGTTCCTTTTGTAACTATTTTGACTTGTACAGTGAATATCATGTCAATATATACGATGTATTTAGTACGTTTTTTGTCTCCTATTTTTGCATCTCATTTTTATCGCAACCACTAATTACTTTATTGATAACCTTGAGGAATATTTTTAAATGTTGTGTTTCTCATAGCCTCTGAAAATGTCGAGGACGGAAAGTCTTTTTTGATACAGCTACCTCATGGCGTTTGTTTTTAAATACTTCTCAGCCAATTTTGCTATCTTTTTGGAATTTCAGTAATTTAACCACATCGTAGTAGCTATGTACGTTTTCTTTTCAGTTGCTTCTTAGTTAAGATCCGTCGCATCAGTTATGGTGACAAACTAAGCTGTACGTACTGTACGTTGAAGCTCTGCAGTGACGTACTAGCTTCTACGTGACTCGCATAACGAGTGCGAATATTCTGTGTAAAAGCGAAATACTTATACACAGGTAATTTCATTGCTTAAAGCTCTGCACATTCCAAGAAACTACTCTTCTGAACAGATTAAACAATATATGTTATAGAAAAAATAACTCGTATTTTTTATTCACACTTAAGTGTACCTTTGATTTATTCTTTATTAAAATGTACATTTCTTTTTACCCACAACTGCCTTACAGATCAAATACAAATCTTATATTATTTTGTCGTGAGTTATTGAAAAAGTTAATAAAGATTTGTACAAGTTGAAACTATTGGGTTGTCGGAAAAATGTCAACGAATATGTTGTAAACGTAAGTAGAATTAAATATTTCTTAAGAGTATACAATCAAACAAGGTATCGTTTTGATCGATTTCCATATGCCATCTTTTTTTTTTGGGTAACATCATAATTCTATCACAGCATAACTTCTGCGGGTTATGGGCAAAAAATTATAACAAGTGATTTTTGCGTCTCTACATTAAAACTAAATTACTACCATTAAAGAAGATCTGTAGAGAACGAAAAGGATAGTCTGGTATTGCGAATTTCAGGACGTATTACAGTTTCCCGACTAAGTTTCCTCAGTTTGAACGGAGTAGCTAAACATGTATCGTTTGGCAATGTCATGGCGGAAGACTTTTGTGACTCATTAGTTCCGGTCGATTTTTTTTAATTGCTTGTTGTAATCTTCTCAGATAGTAGAGGTTTGAATCGATCGTCTTGTCAAGCGAAAGCAACATAATGCACAATTTCCTTTCCAATCCCACCGAACACATAGTATCACCTTTACGTCAGTCTGGGTCTAGCCATAAATTATAGAACACTTTTATTTGCAAAATTTTGTTAGTGTTGTATGATCTATTTTTCATCACTTGTGATTGATCATTTTAAAAATAACTCGATCTTGGTACGTTTCTATAGAATTTCGCAGATAGAAATACGATCGGGTAAATTCTTTAACGTCAATTCATGCGACACCCGGACATCGAGACTTTTTTATAGCTTGCTCTTTTTAAGTGGCTCAAAAGTGCTTAGTGTTGAATCCGTGGGTCGTTTTTTTTCTGATAACGTATAAACAGCACACATTTTAATGGGCCTGGGCACAACCTGTATAATAATAATAACCTTAAGCGTAATAAAATTGTTAAAATTAGCTTTTGCAGAAGTCGCAATATGTCCTTAAAGCTCTCTATCTTAGATCCGAATAAAGACATGCCAACGACGTTATTACGTCTACCGGCTTTGAAATTAATTAAATCTCGGCTTTGAAAGGCCACTAACGCATATCTGACGCACAATATTTAGATTCGTGATTTTAAAGCTCTCTAGTAATAAAAACAGTCAATACTTTTTCGACAACCCAATAAGTGAATTTTGCTTTGATTTAACCTGAAAATCGTAATTTTTCGAACCTCGATTGTGAAAAATGTTTTCCATTTTTGTCTTAGACATATGATTACAAAACTCCCCTAGAAATTGTATCAGTGCTGAGTACAATTATATTAAAGCTGTGATTTATCACAGTCTAAGATCTTTGTTATAGTAGTAAGGTTCGACCGAAGTAAAGCAGAGCAGCAACACAAAATGCTAACTTTTTAAATATTATCGTTCTATTTGTACTGTTCAAGATACCGTACATAACGCTTTTATGTAAATACCTACTTTACATTTGATGATATTAGATTTTTCAGTCAACCTTTGCGTTACTCTTTTTTTTTTTATCTAATGCTTAAACAAAGACACCGGCACCCTATAGATCCGCGTCGAAGAGTCAAGTAGTGGTTTACTCGGTCAAATTATTCGCAACACTGCACAACTTCTGTAAGTTAAGTGAGAAGTTTTGAAATTAAACAGAAAGGGAAATGACCTCCGTCTTAATGACAATTTTACATCTTCCAGTTAACTATATTAAACTCAACCACGACATTCGAGCTTATGACTGTTGATTATGCATCATATCCAAATTTGGTTATAATAATTTTACACTCAAGAGGAGCCACTGTTGACATCGAATCTCTCCACTTTTCACATATACGACTTAGTTGCACTTGCACCTGTTGTTATTATTATTATCATTGTTAAACATAAGCGTTGCTGAACGGCAGAGGTTTCGACCGTCAGTACATTAATCTAGTCTTCCAATTCACCGACCAATACGCTGCACGACCCAATCTTTCTGACACAGTGGACAACGGGGATTCTGAGTGACCCAGTTTGACATGCAACAATTGTGAAACGAGTGGTTGCATTCTCCCCAAACGATGGCACACGCATCTTGGTCGTTGTTTTTCTTCTCACTGCTGCAATTAAGGCAGACATCTGTTGCCAAGCAGTATCGATCAGAAACAACAAAATAAAATTATTATATATTAAAACGCCATGAATCCTCCACCGACGGTAACGATTGTGACAGAGGGGGCATAAACAGCGTTTATATAATGACGGTACAATGACCCGGCGTCCAGGCATCGATAAGACGAAACAAGTAAACGAAAAATTGAGAAGTGGATTTGATAAAGACGAGCCATGTCCGCCATTTACATGAAAGCGAATAGGTCAACAATTAGAAATAACAAATTTTAGACTAACGTTGCTTTTCCGATGAGACTCGGCAACTCTAATAATCTATATGGGTAGCACCCTCTTAGTTCTTATAGTACTTCTTAGTCTAAATATGTATAATTTAAAAAAAAATGTTTAATCTATTTCGAGAAGTTAATTTTAACTACCTTAATTTTCACTGTTGCTTCAATGTAGATAAATGTCTAACAACAACAAATACCATTTTCTTCAAAGGTCTCGGTTTCGGTTCAGAAAACACTTACCCATTACTTGAATACGGCAAATGGCACAGACGTCACATTCGACATCCCAGCTCCACATCGCCACAGCGTTCCATCTTTTTAATACGAACATTTTGTCTGCCTTAGGAACCTCTGATGTGTCTAGTACATCATCTTCGTCAGCGGGACGCATCACAGGTGATGTGGGATTGTGGCCAGACATCTTCAGATTACACTTCGGATTAGAATCTGAACGATAACAATTGTTACCAAATCTGCCAGATAAATGAATAATGTTTTCTATTGTTAGTAAAAGTATAGCAGCTAATTATGACTAATGGAAAAGGTCGACCACGAAATTCCGTAAAACTTCTACGTACAGATAACTCCGGCCTATTTAGAATAGAATAGACTTTTAGTTGAGATACACACGTTTCAAAACCATTTCAACTAAATTTGTCAAAAAAAAAATCGCTTCGTTATATAGTATATTCATAGTGTGTGAGTTAAAACTAATTTATATATTAATAGCGATGCAACAGGCTATAATAATGACGGTGCCAAATTTCCTGCTAACATGCTATATCTTAGTTAATAAGTTACTGCGTACTGGTCAAAAAAAAGCGAAAGCTTTGGTTTTTATATGCTGTACGGCTATGCCAAACTCAATAACCCTCAGGTATTGACAACTAGAAGCGCAGCTGTCCACGGCACCGTGACGGCGTTGAACGCTTCCTATTTACAGACACAAGGGTGCATCGGTCTATTGTCCTGACACCAATTTAACCTCGCTTGTTCGAAATGGTTACAATACATACCTATATCATTATTTTTTTCAGCCATAATTTAGCGCAGTTTTTTTTCAAACATTGGAAATTGATGATGATTAAACTCTAATCATTCATACACCAAAGTTACGGAGAAGTACGCAGAAGGACCGTTTTAACTATAAAAAATTCAATGCATAATTTTACCTCACAACACTGTTAGCACAGTAAAAACTCACACAACTGTGTCTCTGTATACTCCGTATACTACCTCTATGGGATATGCGTAACAGTAGACAACTTTAACGATTACCAGCAATAATTCAGCCGATTTGTAGTCCGTTTCCTTGCTGTTCGCTGCGGCTTGATTTCGATGTTCATTCTATTACCTCTTATTACCCTAGCTCGTTCTGCCCTCGCATAGCAGACGCTACTTCATGATGAGAGAGGACTGAAAGACAACCCCGTCGATGCTACAATCTCGCTCTTATGGCGAGCTCAAAACGTAACACTTTCTCAGTTTATTATCCACTCGCGTGGACAAAACGATTGAACTGGCTAATTTGCTAAGGTTATGGATTTATTTTAGGGTGCACAATTGTTCTGAAAAAGTATATTAATTGAACTTCAGAAACTTTTGGACCATCGAGCTGGCTAAGGTTCCGCCGGTTAAGCGGGCCGCCAACGCGAACAGCTGTTCGAATTCAGCCGCTGGTTTTGACAGCTCTGTGCGTCCACTCCGCTACTTATCGCAAGTACTACCACCTACATAAGCACTATTCGATTGCCCCGCTACGCACATATTCAACTAGCAAATCTATCTGAAAGCATGTTGGATCTTTAATAATAATCATAGCATACTGCTGTACTTGTCGACCAAGTTTATTAACCTATATATATTGGAAGCTAGAGAATAGAAATTTCGTCGTGGTTCAATGTGCTGTTTTCAATGAATAGTGTTAAGCGAACTGTGCCCAAAAATATCATCAGACTTTTGCCAGGAGTTAAATTCTAGTGGTACATATATATACGTCCCTCAGTTCAATGGAGTGCTTAGGCTGTATCCGGGCTTTTTTCATTGGCGATCCACAAATCCCACAATACACCAGACTGCCCCCAGTTCATCTGGATACTCAGTTTATGGGTATGTGACAGCTGCTGCACTATAACAGTAGAGCTTATTTTAGTTCGTAGTTGCTTACAAACGTATCTTACTTAGGTAGACTTCGTAGAATATAGAATATGTCATGAAAAAAGTTCAGCATCCTTTTGATGTGCGCTAAGTTGACTTAAGCAATTTACACGATATTAACAATATCCCAGTTTTCTAAATATGGCTACCATGTGCGAAAAAGGTAATTTATCTTTATCATTATATCACTTTAGTTTTTTGATTTAATTGTTATTATTATTAAGCATTATTAACTTAGCCACACATCTTCTCTTTCTCTTACAGTATCGTCATTATATATATATATATATATATATATATATATATATAATAATGTGATACTCTAAACTAGAAATCGCGTTTTTAGAATCAACGTTAGGTTTTCTCTAGGTATGTTTAGTATATTATGTTATGTAGTCGTAAAATGTGATAATATTTTCAAGTACTAAATTTGCTGTAGGCGAGAATGCAGTAATTGTGAAGAATGGCCACCGTCTTTGTGGTTCCGGAGCATCACTGGCAAATCATCCAATTGCCCAAAATAAAGCTTATTTCGAAGTGAAGCTTCAGCAAGGTGGTACATGGGGTGTCGGAATCGCTACTCGAGATGTGGACCTCAACAGCTTACCTCTAGGAAACGATTTCAGGTGCCCCTGCTTACTTGCATCAATTTAATGTATACATCTGATCTCATCGATCCTAATATGGAGCTAGTAACCCAACAAATCTTTCTGAATCTTTGGAAATGATTTACTACAAAATAGTTCGAAATAAAAAAAAAAAAGTAATTTTTCAAAGTAGATTTGTGGTCTAGAATATGTTAGGTAGGAACTATAGAGGTACAGCTTGGAAGAGGTTTTAGCTATGTAGCTAGCACGTCAAGTCGCAGTTATCGAGACCTTTTCATTTCGGGTTAATGTTTTCAAAGTAGGTTATGTGTCTACTTCGATAGTCAGCATTGAGCACATTCGGTACATTTTTAGTTCTGAGCATTTTTCCTGAATTAACGTTTCATCCTTTGGCCAAGTGCAAAATATATGAAATGTCGTTTCAATTAATTCGCGATGCGTGTAGCTACTATAACCGTTTAAGCGAGGAAATTGGGATATATAAAAAACTAAGGCATTATAGAGCTAAGTCATAGAACTTTGGAACCCTGAAAAGAGTCATACGATACACAGCTCGATCTCGATATTTTGACATCCGCTTGTTTACATCTTGCTTAAACCAGATGCTTTTTACAATCTAATGTTGGCATGTCGGCATTTTTGTCGTGCAATATGTAAACGATTATGAATGATTTTCCGGCTATTTCGTCTGGCAGGAGCGTGGTTCTTCGCGACGATGGTTGTGTTGTTGGAGCTGGAACGATCCGACATCGACTTCCCCAGCAGGTGCAAGAAGGCGATGTACTGGGGGTGGCTTACGACCATATCGACCTGCGTTTTTTTCTGAATGGGGTTGATCTTCAAGTTGCTAGTCTGGGCATTAAAGCTGAAGAAGTTTATCCTATTGTTTATGGTACGTAAACTTTGCATAGATAACACAACAGAATATCATTATTAATGTCTTATTTTACGTTTGATGTTAGAATTTTGCGCCATTTTTGAATCTTGCATGATAGTATTCAAAAATGAACTGCATGCATAATGCAAAACTGTCGTGCTCTACTCTGCGGAAATAGCTGGATCAAGCTCCCGAATGAATTCATGCGCGTTGTTTAGTCAGAACGCGGGTATGATGTAGAAATTATTGTCTAACAATTAAATGTTGGCTGAATAATTACAGTTGACGGTGGAGCGGTCATAGAAGCGGCATTTAGTTCATTTCATCATCAACCACCAGCAGGATATCAAAGGATCCTTATTGAACAGTCTTTGCTTTAATCAAGCATCGGAAGTAGATGTCTTGAGTCAGACTTAACTATAGGATTGTTCCTAAACTTGGTCAAGAGAGGGCCGAATTGTTCGAATTCGTTCTTGTAAAGGACGAATTAGCTGTCGCAGCTGTACTAGTCGTAGCAATTAACATCGTGATCATATTAAGAGACGCCATCTATACCACGCAGCTTTCTGAAGTACGAGGCTTTGGATGAGCAAGCCGGACGTGGGCACGGCCCTATTCCTGTCAAAAAGGAGTGTGACTTGCAGCAATTCGGCGCCGCTACTTGTTGAAAACAGACGATACGAGCACCCTATAGTGTTTCCACAACTTCGTTCTCTTCTAAGGCTCCGGTAACTTATTCTCGCATGTCCGGTATGACAAAGTTATGATAGAGCTGTACAAAGCTCCTTGTAGTAATCAGGGTTGTTTTTGGTTATGATAGTAATTCTAAAAATTTTGTTTACTTGCCAGTTCCAGCATTAAGCGCACGCAGTGCTTCTTGTCCTTGCACGATCTTCAGCAGGGCAGAAGTCCTGGTGAATGATATATAACGTACCCTCGCACTTTCCATATAAGATATGAGTAATCTTGTAATATGAACCAAAGCTGATCAAACGAACATGTATAAATTACGTATGTAATGACCTTTTCAAAAAGAAAGACTCTTGGTTTTTGCCAATAATTTGTCTAAGTGGCTACTATAATAGAATATCTCCAGAACTAAACTGCAGTGCACCTGATTTCTAGCTAAGTTGACTGTAAACCTTCGAAGAAAAAGCAATTCTTTTTTCTTTTATATGAATATTATTTTCACATGGTGATGATCGCAAAATGTTGCGAAAAAGTGCTACCTTAATCAAATTCAAAAACACCTGAACGAAAGCAAGCACTCAGATAAAATAGTGCGATTCACTTATACTATTATATCTAAATACTGAATGAAAATAGTCATAACGTTCCTTACTAAATGCATTCGAGAGTCTGTATTAATTTTTTTGGTATACAGTATTAAATCGATGCATAAAAAGTTATTCATTTTTTTGGTATACAGTATTAAATCGATGCATAAAAAGTTATTCAACTGGCATAAGACAACCTTTCACGAAAATTATGGCAACAGATCATTGTGTTATGAATTGCAATCTTCTGACAACTCTCCGCGATTTTTTAAATTTTAATCAACATGAAAGTGTATAGGTCAAGTGTCGAACAATTTTCTCTTCTTCGTCTGTCAAGAAACTCTCTTCATCTTCCAATGCATTGTTACAAATTTTATTTTTCAGCTACCGGAAATGGTGGTAACCCAGCAACTCGACATCTAGAGGAAATATTGATTGCAAAAATCCCTACTTATACTTATTTAACGCAATCTTATAAATTTTTGCAATAGTGGCCTATGCAACTAGGCCATATGCATACATGCAGTTGCTGAATTTTTAAACGCTTATAATTCGAAGGGAACATTATCGTTTTTTTTTGGGAAGATACCTTACTTGGCTTTTGAATGAAGCGTACCTCTGCGATACATCGTGTTGCACTCTGTTTTACATTTAAGTGGAGATACGATTTCTCCTCATACATCTTGCCGTTGTAGCCTCGTGTTGCTTGGTACCAAATTGATCAGCGGTGAGAAGCCGTGTTTCGTAGTGCTTCTGGTTCAGGTTTTCACATAAATAAACTCTAAATTTTTAATAAATTTACGGTGTCAGACGATAATTAAGTCTTTAAAACCGACGTTATGGGCCTATTCCCGAATTGTTTGCCGTCATTTTCCTTCAAAGTTATCTTCAGATGAACTGCATCGACTTAGAATAATTCATCGGAACAAAGTGTTTCAAATCTCCTTCGAACAATCCTCTAAATTACGAACTTGTTGTTGTGTGTGGCACAGATACCCCGAACTACTTCGCTAACTTCTTGACTTTGGCAAGAAATGAAATAAAATGGTGTCGAAAATGCACAACGAAATTATAATGGATTTGTCTGTTTGTGAATCGTGTAACTAAGTCAGCGAATACCTGAAACGTAATTAATTGGGAAAAACAGCGGCTTAAATAAAGCAGGCACAACCTATGCTTTTATCTATTATTTTGGTTTGTACTGCGTTATAAATTAATCACACCAAAAAGGTTTGCGCCGACCAAGAATGTACATGTTGTTTCGGGCTGATAACACTTTCGTTCATCTAAAATTTAGATCAGTATATTCCATTTTCTAGTATTATTTATAAGACTGCACTTCCTTTGAAAACTGTAAAGGAAAATTAAGGCAGTTCGTTGTGTTGGTTGCCTGTTCCAATGTGCAGTGCTTTATTGTTAGTAGCTTGTAAATGCTCGTCCTTATGGACAGACCACACATTTGAACAGAGGAATATTTTGCTGTCATATAAATTCAATATAATAATAACTTTATTGTAACAAGATGCACTACAAACATCCACGTATCACAGGCAGGAACGTTCATTTCCAGAACTGAAACCACTCAATCCCTTTATGTTGTCGTGAATTGACTGGTGACGCTTGGAAACCAGTTCAAGTATGAGCAGGCAACACTAACTGAGGGCTTGAATTTCCATTATAGCCAAAATACACGACCTGTTCGCTTCGAGTAGCTGATGTAATAGGTTTTATTGCCCTTGGCACAAGGCCTTTAAGCAAGTTGGTCGTTTTTGGTATCCCCAACTACCTCTTTTAAAAACTAAATAAAGAACTCAGGTAAGGTAAGATAACCAGAGCGAGTTGGGAAGAGACCCATTCAGTTTTTAAGGATGTGTAGTAAAAGAAAATCACCTTCGAGCCGAACAACGTGAAAACAAATTGCCAGACATAATCAATTTCCACATATACATTGATATACACAAATATATGTGAATATTATATACGGTGCTCTTGACTAAATGTTTACATAAGTCATAATATATATGAAATGTGTAAAATGTGCTTTTTGTGAGTGCGTCGACAGTCAATCTTCACCAGCACTAATATTGCTGCAAAATCCCTCTAACGCTGCAAATTCTATAAAAACAAAATTATTATTATGTAACCTCTATTATTTGTTGCGCTGCGGAGTCACTTTTTGTTCAGCATAATTTTTGCTCTAATGCACATTGTATATAGCGTTGTGTTTAGAGCCATATAAAATAAAAAGTGAAGGACTCACTACAAAAACAAATTATATAATACATATATATATACAAAGAAATAACATACTTGCATTGCTTCTGCCGCAGGATTGTTATTGATATAAATGTATTGCTGTAAAAGGAATTATGGTTATACCATAACCGAAACGACCTAATTATTATATATTGCGTTAATAGAAAATAAAATGAAAACGATATTTGATGCTGTATCGATCTACTGTGATGACCCACTCGCGGAAAAATTTATTTCAGATAGTTCATCTGTCTTCCGCTTTATCCTTAAATTTGTTTAGTTATCAATCTTGCAGTTTTTATTGTAACTGACGGTATCTCACATCACATCCAGTTTCGCCTCGTTATTGAGACTTCTACATTTCACCGTTATCTAATATATTTTATTCAGCGCATTTTTTATTCCCGTTTCTAATGAGGACTGTTGAGTGGGCAATATTTTAGGGTATCTGTCAATTGTCGTTTTCGTTAGTTTCTTCATTAATGTATTAACCATTAAGGATATTTCGTGGCGTCTTTTCTGTTGCGGTTTTTTTTTGTTGTTGTAGATGCATACACAAGGGTTTCACTAAGAATATAAATTCATCAAAAAAGTTTTACTTCTACTATTGTTGCATTATTATAGCGGTATATCAATAGGTAATATTTATAGCGTGTATGTATATACCTGTATAAATTTAATTGAGAAAATATACAAAAATCGCTTGGATTAGTTATTTTGTATATTGGGAGTTGCTCGTCCTTCCCTAATACATAATTATACATAGTACACGCACTTCAATTTTCCATATAGTATTTTTTTTATTAAAATTAAAACATCGTAGAAAACTACAGCATTTTTCCTGTAAAGAAAACTTTTCGAAAGAAGTCATAAAACTCGCTCGAAACGTAGGCACAAATCCGTTGTTGGTGTCAATGTTATAGTTCATCAGAGTAACTTAAACGCGAGTGCGGACCTAGTATGCGTGGTTGCTGACTCTTCCATATTAAAAATTCACCCAAAAAAACATGAGACTAGAAAATTAACTCCAAAAACTACATAATTATCATCATTTTGAAAATCGAAGCAGCCAACAGCGGTTAGCACGAAAATGCAGGTCGAACATCGCAACGCCAAATCTTAGATTAAAAGTGAACATAAAACGGCAAAAAATGCGCACATGTAATCGATGTTCGATTCAACTGCCGGTTGAAATGCGCCAACCACTGCATAGATTCTTCTTTTTTTTTTCATAATCACTTCATAATATTGTTGTCGTGCCTGTACTTTTTATTTGTGTACCAGTGTGTAATAGTCGTATAAAATGTCATTAAGAGTAATAATTGTCGACTCATTATTATTGTCCTTTTTTAATAGATACATCCATCTTTATGATAATAACAATAATAATATCTATTATAATTAAAAGGCTGAAGGTTGTTTTTGGCCTGCAGACTTTTGTGCCTGCCAGAAAAAAGAAGAGCTGGCGGAGGCCACGACTAACCTACACGTATATAGAAATCTTTGTACAAACAGTTTTCATTCATTCCTGCTGCGTGTGTATACCTCTCATCATCAAATTATCTTCTCGTTTCGTCTCCGCATTAATCTGACGATGTTTCCTTTAGCATGGCTTAACCCTTACTAAACAAATTTGCTTCAATAGGTGGGTGGAAAGAAGTCTTTGTTGTGTCTGGGGTGTTTGTTCGTTGTGTCTCCTCTAAGATCTACTTGCGTCTGCTGTTCACTCGTTTGATAGCTATAATAATAAAGTTTAGATTCATTACCTCTAAGAACGAATAAACGTGATGATCAAACGTGTTTTACACCTTATGGTACCTTAAGACGGCCAACAATGATTATGGTAAGTTGGAAAATCCTGTAGCACTTTTTTTAATAGTTTTGTGTCAACCATAAACGTTCCTTCTTTCGACATTACAAAGAGACAGATACAACAGCAGCTATGTACTGCTATATCCTGCCAATTTATCATCCTATATTGATGTATCATTACCGAACACAATTATATACTGGGTCCATGGAAAAGAAGGACAAATACTCCGCTTCAAATCTCACTTTGCATATTAGGCACACCCGGTAAAAGCTCCATCATTTGATTCTGCTTGTCATCTTTTATCGAACCTATCTACCTTGGGTTCCAACCTATGTTAAACTATTCTGCAGTTTTATTACTGTTTTTCTGTATACAGTATGTAAGTATAAACAAAATTATGTTTTTTTCATTTGCATATAGTTATTCTCTAGGAATTATCGTTGAACGATCCTACCAAAGGGGTAAATTTCAATCTGATGTAGATTTACTCCTTTAAAATAGTCCATGTCTTGCGGTTATCCTTTGCTTGTTGGAATGAAAAGCTTTTTATAAAACGTGCCCGAAGGAAATCCTTAAAAAAATTCGTCTTAATGTTATTTTTATTCTTAGTAAAGAGTCGCAGTTAGGAAGAATCAAATAACTATCATAAAATATGCACTTTGTTACATAACAATGTTACTATCGTTCTTAATGTTGTTGTATTAGGTTTTTTAGTTTTTGAAAGAGAAGCGAGAGATGTACAGGGCTTCGCGAAGAACAGTGCCAGCATATACATAAATAATAACCATTAATAATAAATACTTCTGGCACACAAATTAAGGATTATACTAATATTAGTAGCTTTGTCTCTAAAGATAATATATTTGTTCTTCCCTGCTGAATCGCTGTCTTTCATATTGTTGATTTGTACAGGACGCGCCACCATTAAAAAGCATTACATGATGTTGTTGTCAACACAGCTGTTCTTGTTTCTAATTATTAAGTAGATTATCGCTAACTGCCAACACGCGTCTTATTCCTACTACGATATTTATTATCTCATAGAATGTAGCCCCTGTGATATGTTGGCCATAATTGGTAAGTTTGTAAAAATCATAATAAAAGAGATAGAACTTTCTCGATTCCATACAAACAAGCGAAGTAACTACAAGTGTTCTTGCAAACAAGTTTCCTTAGGGATGAAAAACGACGGTGTACAAACAATACGTTTATACCAATGCAGGGTCTTTAAAGGTGACATAGTATTAATATTTGGACAGGTTCCTGCATAGTGCGTTTTCACTTTGAGTTAGGATTACATGGTATTGGTCTAGTTCAGGAAAGGGATATAATTTACTCATTGTTTAGGATAGCTTGAAAGTTTCTGGTGCAAATCTGCGTAAGATAAAACATTAAACGTGAAAGTGGTCTGCAAAACTCTTACTATGCTACTCGCTCGAAAAGTCAAATCAAACAAACTGACAGATGTAAAAGAGGTACAGGCCTATTTGGGAGAAACCGCCATAGCACAGTGTATGCTTTGAGATAAATCCCAGCACAATCAGAATCTTCTTCATTTGATACACGCAAGATGATCATGCACTTGCATTTGTATTGGTCCTATACAAACAGAAAAGGTAAATCATTTTTGTGTATATCATATCACAATTTAATTGTTATATTACAACTGAACATCGGCTTAATTTGTCCCGTGCTTTTTTTGATTCACCCAGTAGACGTTCGTTCTGCAAGCATTATCTTGTTATTAATAGTGAACATGTAGATGCATATGAATGCTCATCGGACGACTATTTTTATATTTTATGTTTGTCTGTATATAGATATTGGTGTGATGCACAAGTAACGGCCGACTTTGTTCCTTGCTTCTTTTTCTAATTTCTATGGTTTTCTTATCCTTGGCTGAGCCCCAGTTTGGAATGCCCGATAAGCTTTTCTTATTTTGTGATGCTTGGTTTGCTGGTAATAAAATGGTATGTACCGTAGGGAAGCTTTTTTTTTTTTTTTTTGTTATTATCATCGTCTTGGTTGTCCAGGTGACAAAATCTTATCCTTGCCTCAGATGCCTATGGTAAGTAAATCAGGCGGAAAAAGACAGTATTTACCACACCTGCTTTAATTCATATTATTTCATTGTCCTCCTCCAAAAATTAAGGCTCTTCAGGTTGAAGAGGCCATTTTCGGATCTACCAAGCCACTTACACCAGCAAGATCTCGTCATTCACGCAAAGCCCATCCTTGGGTGTTTTTGGTAGTCTTACGAAGCTTGACGAAGACAAATGTCAAAAAAGCTGATTTTTAGCCTCCTTCCCCCTCAATACATATCTTTGAGTTCCGTATTCAGGATGACGCTGTGATTCGAAGCAAACGATGATAATAGCTATGTAACGCAACCATCAAAGTCAATGTAAAATTAGAGAAGAAGACGCAGAAAGCAAAGTCGACTATTACTTACGCATTAACCTAGTAAACTAAAAATTTTAACATTGGAAATCGCCTACACAGGTAATTTTACTAAACCGATGTCATTATTATACTTGTTTTCATACAATCTCATTCGAAACCTTGCACACAAAGTTAACCATTTCTGCTAATTAACTATCACTTTAATAATCAAAGTTAGCCATAGCTTATAAAAAGTTTTTCGTTTAATTTTATGGAAAACAGTGATCTCTTTTGCTGTTTAGGTTTCTTAATATCTAAGTGTCTTAATAGAGGAAACTGCCGATTTTTGCACCCCTGCTGTAACGTTTGTTTAACTTGAAGGAACATGGCATGAGGGTGTTTGCAATTTTGAAATTTTTTTAATAATAGATTGCTTCCTGTGCTGTTTTAATCTTGAAGCGTGCTCAAACCGTAATCAGCTGATTATGTTTGTTGATATATTTGTGTTTGGCAGCCGCAGACTACCAATAGCCGTCTGCTCATAGGGTTGTAGTCTTTTTTCGTGAGTTGATCCATGCAAGAAGACGAGACGTGGTCCATTAGAAATGATAGTAATTTTACTTAACGTCAAGTGGATATCGGAGTTGGTGAGCGTATCCGATACACAATGGATTAACTTTTGTTGAGCACCTTTTTGGCAGCCTTAATAAGCGGTACGATTTGCGTGAGGGGACAAGAGCATTTGAGGAAAGGATGATCTAGGAGTTCCTCGGCTGTGGCTCGCTTCGATACGTCTACCTCGAGGCATCTGAATGTGGGGCATACAGCAAGAACGAACAAACATGATCCATTAGTCGTTATGTAGATTATATAAAAGTTATATATGATCAATACTCTATTGGAGCTTTATATATCGTGGATATTTAATTATCTAAAGTAGCACCTGATCTAGGCCTCAAAAAAAAGAAAAATATGTTAGAAGATTTCGATAGTTTTTAGGAAACCTACATTTCTAGAACATTTCTAACCAGCCATGTGCTACTTCACGTTGATTAGGTCGATTTTTGCCTAATCAGGATGACGACTTTAATAAAAGATGTGACCATAAATAAGATTATATCTAGGGTAGCGCCTAGGAAACGAAATGAGCATGAAAAGCCTGATTGATTTTAGGGGCAATAATTTACAACAAAGTTTATTTTATGAACCAGCTCAGTAATTTTTGAAATATTAAAATTCATCCAATTTATATAAATCGCTTCGTTGAATAAGCTGCATTGTTTTCTAAGAACCACAATGTTTAGGCTCTATGTTCTTCGAGAGCTTTACAAATATCTACCAAATGGACTGCCTACTTACCTGTCAAGAAAGTCGCGCAGATTGGGCGAAAGATTGTCCTTGTCCTTGATTTCAGGCTTGCCATTAGATGTAATAAGAAAAAGAGCCTTAAGGGGTGTCTCGTTAAGGTAGGGCGGCTGGCCGTCAATCATTTCGACAACCATAATTCCTAAGGACCAGACATCGACTTTGTTCCCATAGTGTTTCTTGGCAACTACTTCAGGTGCCATCCAGTAGGGCGTCCCAACCATCGTCACGCGCTTTTCGTTCGGGTTTGATATTTGTGCACAAAAACCAAAATCCGTAATCTTCACAGATCCGTCCATACCTAACAGAACATTATCGCTTTTTAGGTCGCGGTGAATGATGCCTCGGGAATGGAGGTGTTTTAACGCCTGAAAATTTCAATTCAGTCGACATAATCAAGAAACAAAAACCATAAACAAGAAACAAATAAGGTATTAATGTGGACTTAATTTAAAGCTCGTTTTCATAAACAAGACACGTCACATAATGCGCATTACTTAGAGTCTTTCTATGAGCAGTTGTTACCATAAGCGTCATAACTATGATACGTCTAACCATAGAACAAGGCATCATAAAGAAATCCTACCTAAAACTAATACAAATGGTAAAGGCCAGTGGCTGGAAGAAGATTATATGCTTAAACTATATGGTGGGTACTGGGACACCCTACATCAGAGTTACTCGATATAGTGCTATTATTTACAATTCGCTGGGAACTAATGGATTTAGTACCGTGGACAGTGGAAGGGGTACCACCGCTTTCCAATTGGCCATAAACTACTTTTGACACTTTTGCATCTTCAGGCGTGATATACAGGGTGTAAGTGCCAGCAATGTTGTTGCCAAGTGGTCCTGCGCAGTCCTCCCAATTTGAAATAACAGCAACTAGAACTAAAGGAAGGCAAGGCAGCAAAGGGGACAGTCGTCCTTGTTTGCTATATAATATATTCTGCTGGCAGGAATGATGCGAGAAATGACCGATATAATGCGCCAAAAAGGAACTGATTAAAAATATAATAGGGGTCACTAAAAGATCAAATCACTCAGTATCTGTTTAAATGTTTAAAGGCGTCTGTGATTTGCTACTACGATGGTGAAGCAGACGTCTAGCTTTAATTGATCAGTGCTTAATAAGACAATTGTTGTGTGTTCTAAGTAATAATAGTAATTAGAAATATCTACAGACGAGATATCATTACTGCCAAGTACGCCAAAGCTACAGAACCAAGAGTGAATGAACACAAATGGCAAATGATAGCTCGAAAAATCAATGCATACTTCTTGTTCTTATTTATGCCTATGATATTTAAAGGCGTGGTTCGACGCGAGTCTTGTGGAGACTGTATACGACAGTATTCGTAGGCTTGTATATTTTCTTCTTTGTTCGTGGGCCACCCAAATGCACAGCGGCATACAGAAGGCTCGACGATCAACAAGCGGCTAAATAAAGATATTTGAAGCATTTTCCAGCACTTCATTGACACGAACTCAAATGTTTTGGCTGAGTTCTGTTACGATGCCTAGACGATATGATAAGATGCGCAAGTATCTCTTATTCACCTTTAGCGTTTCTCGACACACGGCTGCCATCTGGCTTTCCTTCATAATTGTTTCACAGACGACATCAGTTAGTGGTCCGCCATCAAGGTATTCCATAACCACCCACAGATCATTGTCGTTAACGAGATACGAAGCGAGGTAGTTGACGAGGTTTGGGTGTAACGAGGTCTTCATCACGAGGATCTCGTTGAGGATGAGCTCCTTCTTCGGCTGTTGTGATAAGTCGATCACTTTGACAGCCACCTGCATGTGCGCTTGCTCGTCCATCGCTTTGTAAACCACACCGGACGCTCTAAAATATTCAAATATCACCAGTAAAATACAGGTTAGATGTGTCTGAGATGAACTTACCGGAGTCTTAAATATATGCTAGATATATAAATCCGTAGCGGATAAAACTACCCTACCTAAGTAATCATGATAACAAATAATTACGCCTACATTCTAACAAATAGTGCAATAACGTAGTACTAGAGGTCGTAGAGAGTGGATAGGAATAAGGCCCGCAAAATTAACCATGCGTTTACCATACCATGAAACCATACCATACAGAATTCTCATTTTAGCCGACTCGAGTCGGCAATATCATTTTTGCTAGAAAGGTTACGACTGGATGACGTCTATTTACGAAGTAATAAAAACAGTCTTCTGAGAGCGGCCTGCAAGGCTATTAGTCTGTCCTATGTCACATCGAACAGGACAGTGCGGCTTCATCTAGCTATTTGTTCGTTCCAGCAACAATTGTGTGTATGACATTTGTCTCGAAACCAACTTGCATGCACTGCGCTTCCACAAGTCAGTCGCGAGATTATGCCCGATGTGTGAGGATATTTTTACGAGTGATTACACTGAATTCCATTGCTTATTTGGTGGTTGCCGTATTGTCAAATGGACAGCTAAGCGGAGGCTGGCAGGCCGCTGTAGCTGAAGCTGATGTCGTTATCGACTATTGAACATTTCCAAATCAGTCACTGTTGTCACCAAAAATCTAGTGAACTTAAACAGCGCGAAAATACTGTTTGACATACGGTATCACTTTACAGACAACAAACTAACGTGTCACGTATTAACAATATGGCACCACTCTATCTTCGATGACATTCCCAGTTGAATGCATTAGTTGACTGGGTGCTTACATACTTATACATTCATACAAATGTCTAACAATAAATCTACGTCAAATCAAATACAGTACAGGATGATTTGTAGCAGCTGCGCCTACAGACTTCCAGTATCATTGTAGATGTGATCGGTAATATCTAGTTTATCTTAGTTTTTTTTTCGGATTAGTTGTAATTTTGATTCAGGGTAATCCATGCGTGCGTAACTTATATGGGAAAGGAAACATTTTTTGCACGTCCAGCAAAAACACAAGCCATGAGTATTTTTTGCTCATCCATTGCAAAATACTACTATACTTACATCGTGCTTCCTGCCAAAAAAGCACCGTCAGTATCGTTCTACAAGCAGCGAGTACGGGATCGGTCCATACTGGGCAAACAGTTAGCGCACTACGATCAAGCAACGAGCATATATATATATATATATATATGGAACTGTATTAACAATTAGTCAGTAAATGGACAATATTATCCGGACAGCAAACATGCTTCTCAAAAGTTAATGCTTCTTTATTAGTCTCTATTAGAACGATCGACTCAATATTCCTTGGACTTATTTCACAATAAGTTGCTGCCTAGCATCTATCTCCCGAAAAACGCATTAGTTAATCAGCCCAACGTTGATTACTTGAAGTTATTACCTAATATTACAATGTAAATTTCAGATGACGTCGAAAATATATTTGCTTCCTCTTTTCATAGGAACAAAAACATTTCGAATTAACTTATTTTTCTGTTCTTATAGTAAACAAGGGGGAGTTAACAAGTGCATAAAATAGTTTTACAAATTTCGCGGTGGTTGAGTTCTGCCCCTGCAAACTCATGGCCCATCAATGAGCATCACATCGAGCTTACCACACATGGCTCGTAATAGGAAGGCTGGCATACTCACAGACATGCGTAAGGTTTTATAGATCTTTCTTCTTCTTTTCTTCTGCATAACGTATTTCGAAATGGGTCTTTGTTCTGTTTAATACGTTGCCCTTGCTCCTATTGTTTTACTTGCATATATATATATACATGCATATATATATATATATGTTGCTCAACTTACATATGAGATTGCAGTGAGATTAGACATTGCGACCCTCCACACACAACGATACATCGTATTAATGCAGAATCCACTCGAGACGAGACATGTACGTAGGTGGGGGATACGCCACTCGGCGCTGAAAGAAAGAATCGTTCCGCTCCATTCCGCCTGCTCCATAAAGAACAAAATAAACTGGAGGGCTAAGCAACCCGAGTACGCGCATCCCTCCGCCGCAGTGCGGTGTCGAAATCTCTAGCCATGCAGATTGCCATATGTTACTCCACTCCGAATAAAGGTCTGCCGAGCTTTCCTGGTCGTTTGCCAAAAGTGAAACTTACAAGACAGACACTGTGCGCCTGCCTCCGAACGGCGACAGGAAAACAAACTTCAAATCTTGCAAATCTGCTAAAAGATTAGGGGCCATCTGAACGGTTGGTGGCAGACGTGCATGGTACGTGGTTTTCCAAATGCGAGGACTAAGTAAGTAGCTGCAGTTGCGGAGGAACTCAATAAGAAGAAAGCAGGAAGACACCGCTGATAGCATCTGCTCATCTAATGTTCATACAGCCAAAACAACCAATTTGTGTTCGCTAAAGTTCAAGTGACTGGTCGGAGTGAAATTCCAGAACAATTCTTTCAAGGTTAGTCTATAGAGGGCGTACGGAATAATACTGTGAATGAAAAGTGCACACTATATACAGATGTTCCCTTCTATGGCTTTGAAAGCGAGTAGATCGTACCTTTACAAAGATCTTGATAAACAAATGGCAGCATAAAATTATGTGGTCTTTGGTACGTCAATAAAAGATGCTTAGTATTCTACAAATTTCACTGTGTGGCATAAAGACGAATGGTAAGAGAAATACTAAGTTAAAGGTATCCACTGTCACCGATTCAGTGTAAGGCTCAACGGAAATATATGCCGAGCACCGGAGATGGACACAATGAACAATTGTATTGCTTAAAAAGGGTCACAGATCCACCGGTCCTTAAAGATAGGGGAAATTACGTAAACAATGCTACACGCGTATTTTTGTTTTCACGTAGATATCTGACCTTGTGGAGGATTTCCACATGAGTGAATTCAGGTTTATAGAGAAAGCGACGTTGTGTTAAACTTTGGTTTTGGTTTACTTTACCATTTCGGTGCTACCAAGCTAGAACCTAGGCTGTCTTTAGGCAACAAGAGAGCTTTTACGTCTACAACCAACGATTCCAACAAAAAATATTGGTTACGGCAATAGGCATGCTAGCATAAAAGACAAAAGCTTTATCTTTGTTGGTTTCAGCATCAGTTCTTAAATGGTATTAGCAAGAGAGCAAATATCTAAAGAAAAAAAAAAACAATTGTCTATTTTCATTATTAATCGCCTAGCTATACTAGACCTGCAGGATCATCTTACAAAAATGTTACATACCATCCACACTAGTAACACTGGTGCGGCCACTCTAGATATTATGTGATTGTCCTGCACGAAAATGACATGTCGCCAATGTCCGAAATGTAACAGACGCGTTTTGCTGCTTGTTTGCTATTCCACTTATAATAAGACTTTCATTTTACTTCTGTTTTTCAACTATCTTTAGCATCCGCTCTGTTCGCCGTTCGTTCCGTTTGACTCTTTTTTTTTTTTCGGCTTGCCTCGAACTAAAACTTCCATACAGACGATAAAACTACTATTGTGAAAGACGGCGTCATTGCGTTGCACCGCTGTTAATGTGACTGCAGCTGCGGCAGCAACTGCTGCTGCTGCTGCTGCTGTCAGTACAAAGCTCAATCACCATGCCCATGCTCATATTTCACTCTGTGCTGACAGCCTGCCTAGGCGATGCCCCGTTTCTTTCACTGCCGATCGTTTTTTGTTCCAGGGTCGAACTAGTTTAAAGCTGATCGTGAAAGAACAGCGGCATGGAAATTCTGGCAGCACGTCAAGCAAGAGAGGCGTTATCACTCGACTAGCATCCACTCGGTGTACGATGGCGTTTACCGTCATTTTTGTTGCTATCCATCATAGCGTCACGTCAGACTATTAGTGTATGCATAACGTAGTACGAACTAGGGTGTTTTTTGTCGATCGTTGCTAGGGCACTTGATCGCGAACTGAACGGTTGCAATGGCGGCCATATAAAGTTTTATGATAGCTATAGCTAAAATGCTAAATGTGTAAAGTTAGCACGTCTAGCACCGCCGTTAGGCGTTCTATCAGACGGCTAACTTTCAGTACGAAACAAAGTGTCTATATGCCCGGATTTAAGCATCGGATTACCACGTGTCTACCAGCCAGACATGTTACTCACTTGGCCATAACGGAAACATGGATAGAATGCTAGGTAATTAGTACCTACAAGTTGCCAAGATTAATGGAAGAATTCAGCAAAAAAATTGTAAGCCAGAAAACGTTATCATTCTACTTTGATTTGGGTGTCTCTCGGAAGATTCTATAAAGTGAAACACGTGAAGGATACAAATCGTACGTATTTGAAAAATCCAAGGAGTCTATTCATTCATTTGTGGGAGACGTAACTTGATTATTGCTAGTTTTAGATTTTCCAACATGTTCTTGTTCTTGGCTTACATCAGAGTAACGATCGTAAACGAGCTTAGATGCAGTAGAAGCAATTCGTTAGTTAGCATTATGCCGCTTCTCAAATTTTCTGTTTTAGAGAAACGGTTTATCCAGACCCCGTTTTCTCAGCTGTTTTACAGCTTGTCCTGCAGATAGTCTGCTAGCCTTAGCTTTCTGCATTCGGAACATCACTTGACTGCTTAGTCCAACAGAACTTTCTGTTATCGCTTCGAAGAGACTGGCTCGGCCCATGAATGACTAGAGAGAGCAGACGGTTGGTCCCAGTCCCCATGTACAATAGCTATCCAGATTTGAACGACGAACGCATTGCCACAAGCAAGTTTAACGCATTTCAATGGATCGCCAGATAAAGGTCTAGTTTTTTACAGTGAAAATTTCTGCTGTTACCGGTTTTTTACGTTTGCCTGTCGGATCTAAAAGTTGCCGCCATTTTATTACTAGAAATCCATTTCTGCCGAAAGTGTCGCCATAGTACATTTATGCTCATCAGCATAATGTCTCATCTAACTCAGTATATCTCCCGTGTCGCAATAACATTTTTTTTTTT